GAGAGAGAGAGAGAGAGAGGAGAGAAGAGAAGGGAATGAATATGGATAGACTTTATACCTTCTTTTGAGAGTAGGCAACAAAATTTCATTTTTAAATTATTCCAAAGTGTTCACAGAAAAAAAATGACAATAAAGATGATCTTATCTCTTATGATCCCTTATCTCTTATCATCTTATCTTATCTTCTCAAGAAAGGGAAATCTTTCAATAGTCCAATTCTCCAGTTAAGAAACCTGATGATTCTGGACTTGAGAGTTATCAATTTACTCATAGTGACAATTCACCCTACAGTACCCAATCATTATATTTTCATGTCTTTGATTTCACCTGCCGTTATATGGTATACTGGACTGGACTTAAAGTGGGCTAGCCAGAGGTTGTTTGCTTTTCAGTGGGCTGACAATGAATATGTACAGGGAACTCAGTTGTATTGAACTGTGTTACCTCAAGAATTTGAAAATAGCCCAACCATTTTGGGTGAAGCTGTTGGCTCTGATCTACTCCGATGGACCCACCCAGTGGTTTCATTCAGCCGATTTTCCCCAGTTCAACCAAATCAGTTAACTTTTTGTGCAGTTTGATGAACTAGCTGATCCTACAACTGGTTGGCCCCACCCCTCATCTCTCCCCTGCCAGCCACTCCTTGCCTGGCCTGAGAAGGTAAAGGTGACAGTGGGGTCACTCTGGTTGGGGCTGTAAATCTCTGCCATAGAGGGTGTTACAAGAAGTGGTGCAAGATCCCCGCTGGCTGGAGTGAGGCAATGGAGCTGTTGCGGCAAGGTGGGACAGTGCAGGTGTCTGAAGTGGCGGTGGTGATGGCCAGAGCCTTAGTGCAAGAGTGAAGTGCCTCTGTACTTGACTTTGTTCAGCAACAGCATTAAACCTTCATTGTGGTACATTTATGCTGAAGGCAGTCCTCGCCTCCCACCACTTCAGTCTTGGAGCTGTAAGCCATGTGTGGGAAGCACTGTGATGGAGAGAAGTGGCTGGGTTCAATTCTCCAGCGCCTCATTTCTGCTGTGTGTTGCTTTCCCACAGTCAGGATTTTTAAAAAGATTTTTCTAGCAGGAAAGGGTGGGCAGCTACTTCTGTTCTTTGTTGGTGCAGCTGGGCACGCATGCCTTGGTCATTTATGGAGATGTGTGACCTGCCCTCTGCTGTGAGACACTAGCCTGCTGTGTTCACTGCCATGGCTGCCTCATGGCCTGCCCACTGACCTGATCCGTGTTGCCGCCGCAGGTGCTGTTGCTGCCCCATGGCTGAAGTGGTCTGCCTGCTGCTCTCACAGAGCCTTGCGCTGCACTGTGAAATTTAGTGCACTTCACAATGGGGGAGACAGGGACCCCTCCTCCTCATGGAACCCATTATGACACAGAGCCCCAATGCGACTCTGGCCCACTCGCCCCTCACAACAGCAGTGGCGGCTGTGGCTTTGATTTCACTTGGGACCCAAGACAGCTTTTGAATGGCCATGGACCCTGGGTAGGGGAGTCTTGACGGTTCCAGTTCTTATTTCCTATGAAGACTGAAGAAGATGGGGAAATCAATTTATAACATCTAACTGTAAATCACTTCTGTTTGGACTTTGTTGGCAATATATACCCAGAGTGGAGACTGAATCTATATTTAATTCAACAACAATTGTTCCAAGATTGCATCAAGAAAGAAGTATGGATATTTGATCCAGGGCAAATTATTTTCAACTTTTGGGAGAGATAGATAGGAGAGATAGGATGCCATGGCAAACCTTCTACAAAATGATTCCAACAGTTTGTTAACAGACAGATTTGAAACATTAATCTTGTATGTTTTCATTCTTCTTCCTGTTAACTATTTTGTTATTAACATAATATATAGAAGATAGATCAAGAAGATAGATTTTGAAGCCATGATGTTCTTCTACCTGGACCTCATTTGACTTCAATCTTTCCCTGGAGGATTAAGTGAAGGATGCTGTATTTTTCCAGGTGTTGCATCACATGTCCAAAGCTTTCTAACTTTTTTTTTTTGCTTTAGCTTTAGCATTCGTTTTCTGACCTACTTAGATGGAACTCCCCCCCTCCAAAACCAGGAACAAATGTTCCCATATGTGGATACTTTAATGTTAAGTGTCTCTTTCTGAAAAAGAATGTGAACAAAATACTATCCACCTTTTGAATTTCCTGCGTGACTAAATAAGATAAACCCAGCCTCTTTAATGCCAGTAAATAATTCACCTGATGATTTACCATCTCATGATTGCATGCAAATTCTTGTTGTAGTTTACTTCTGAAGATTTGAAAGATCAGCCTTTATAAAATGCAGTGTTAGAATTGTTTATTGATGAAAGCAGTTACATATTGGAATCAGCATGACATTTCGGAACAAGAAGTGTTGCCTTTGGATGCACTGGCTCAAAAGGCAGAATGTTGCATTAAAACATGATTTGAAATCGGCAAAAGACAAAAATGTAAATGTCCCTTTGATGTTGGACATAGCCGTGGAGCTCAGTGGCAGGGGAAAAAATTAATTACAGCAAAAGGGTGTAAGATTAAATAGGTAGAAGAAATATTTTAGATGCCGTCTAAAAGCTAAGAGTGATTGATGATTAGAATGAAGGGAAATGGTTCTTTGGACTTCCGAAAGTACAATCTCCAAAATCAAATTTGAGAGAAGCAAATTGTTCATCCAAAGGTTGTCTATGCATCAAGACACTTCCCGAGGAAGCAGACCTGAAAGTCAAAGTCAATTATCAATACAGTATGACAATTCTTTCCTACACAACTAAAATTTGTCATTCCTTAGAATAAAACCAAGATATTCAATAATCTTTGATCAGTTTATATATATTGTATATTATATATTTTATATCATCCTGTATAAAAAGACGGGGAAATTATTCCTGATCCTTTAAGATAAGCTTTCAAATTGCTTCAGCACTTCTAAGTGGCTTCATTGAACTGGTGTCCTTTAGGTCACAACCTACTCAGCCCTGATTTTCTCATTTCTCTCTTCCTCCTTCCTTATGAAGATACCTACAAGCTAAGAGAAAGGACAGACTCTTGGTGGTCTGCCCAAAAATGCTGTGAGGGAGAAGCACAAGGCTCTGAGAAGGCCAGGT